TCTCCTATTGGTTCAGCTCAAGTGCTCCTGAACCACTTTCCCACTCGGCTGGTCACCTCTTCCAGTCAAGTCTCCCATTGGTTCAGCTCAAGTGCTCCTGAACCACTTTCCCACTCGGCTGGTCACCTCTTCCAGTCAAGTCTCCTATTGGTTCAGCTCAAGTGCTCCTGAACCACTTTACCACTCGGCTGGTCACCTCTTCCAGTCAAGTCTCCTTGTTGTCCAGCTAAGTTCCAAGCTATCTGAAAACCCTTGACAACGCCCCACGCTCGGGCACTTTATTGAGGTTACTGGGTTAAATTGCTAGGTTGATCGAAACGATCGAACTTGTAAAACAGTATGGGTATACTATTTAATTAATATAAAGGTTTGATCCAACTAAACTGGTGTCAAAGTCACTGTCTTTTATCGTTTTATGGTTTTTGTTCCTTTTTCTATTCTTTTCTGGTTTTTGTTTTGCTTTTTGTTTTTTTGCTCGTGTTTTTGTCCCCCTAGTTGCCCCCTTTTACTCGGTTAGCTAAGCCTCGTTCGGAGAGCGTACCAGGAAGTTTTCTCGAGTTTTCTTAAAAAGCTATCACGGTACAACCGGAAGGTTTGCACGTTCCTGCCGAACCGTACCACCGGTACTCTAGAATGGGCATGCAGCCCGAAACTGTCTCAAGTGGGTTCGACTCCGTAGTCTTGATGTCGTAAACACCCAGGAGCGCCATAAAAACACTATGTAACATTCGTCTACTGTAGTCACACATGAGGCTTAAGAAAAATAGGCCCTATAACCATTGGCTAAAGAGTCAGGGACACTATCTCTTGTGTTTTTCTACCTCAAATCAGTCGGAGCCAATTCGGTTCGCTTGTGACATGAGACTACAACCCGTTACAGCTTAAAGGCTACTACCAAAATATCCCCCCACTCTAGAAATAAGAACGTCCCCATACTTAGGTCTCTAGATACCCAAAATACATGAACGCCGTTAAAAACCGGGTCTGAACAATCCGTTAAGTTACTTTTTATTAGACAGTGGAACTTTGATCCATTTCAGATGGATCAACCTAAAACTCGCCTTACCTCAACATAACCATCATAAAACACACTCTATAAATTTAAATTGGGCACTCACATCGTAGCACGCTCAAGAACTGGGAGTAATTAAGTTAGTAAACAACTCGAGAATTAAATAATGTAACTAAATGAGTTTAATGTTTGTTAGTTTCAAAAACAGGAACAAGTTTGAACACTAGAGTATAGTTTCTCGTGAACCATTGGGACATTCAAGCTGTCCACCTTTCCATCGAAGGTTCACTCTAGTCCAGTTTGAATGATAATCCAGTCGAGCAATAATAGTCCAATTCTCGGGAATACGCTTCCTTCTGTTTCAGATAGGACAGCTCTACTCTAGTTTTATTTTTTTCTAAAAAGTAAATTTCACTAAGATGAAAGTAAGAACATTTAAAAATAAACATGTACAATAAACAAATATTATACATTAATAAAATGAGCGCCGGGTGACAATTTAAAAAGAAAAACTACAAATATGTACAATATACAAGTATTATACATCAGCTTTGAAAAAATAGCACCAAATTACGGTTAAGAACAACAGTTCAGTGAAAAACAGCAACGGGGCGAAGAGAATAGAGGAAAGGTTAGTCGCGTCGTGATAGGGAATTATTGATGGAAATATCTTGGCTGTAGCAGGTCTGGCTTCTCATTTTGCGGGATCCTCTAATGCAAAGAAGGGCACCTCTCATAATGCAAAAGTTTACACGGGTTCGTAGCCACGAAATAGTTTCAGAATAGTGGGTTCCGCGCTTCTCAGAGGTCAGGAGAGCTAGCTGGGAAATAAATGTTGAAGTCAGGTTGCTGCAGTCACCACTGGTTGAATAGATAATGGGGGTGAAACTTGCGTGCTCCGAGTTCAAAATTCGTTCCTGGTAGTTTTTGATTTTCTCTTGTTCATGATGTTTGAAGGTTTCAGAAATTTTCCGGTTGATATTGGTGGTAGCTCCGGGATTGAAAATTCGGACGTCGAAAAGAGTGCGTTGACCGGTCCGCCAGAAACCCCTTGCTGCTATATCCAATCTTGCTCCATCTTCGGCACGGTTGGAGTTAGTTTGGACAACTGGTTGGAGACTCGGTTCAATGGAGACGTCAAAGCAAGTTTCGCGTATGATGTTCGCCAGCAGGTCACGCAACTCGTTGTGTCTTTTATGAATAAAACCACCAGTGGTGCAATTAAGGGCGTGGGTGATGTCGTAAGGTTTCCCACAGACGCAGGAAACGGGAAGGTTATCAAGACTGATACCGTATCGGAGGCGGAGGAGGTCTTGAAATTTCATTTTGTTGAGAGCATACCCTAACTCTTTGATAGGGAGGGTAGTTAACCACGCTGAGGTGCCTTTCCGTCTCGTATGTTCTAGAAGTCTGTCTTGGCGCTCAGATAGCTTCGGCCGGATAGTTTGCAGGAGTTCTGTTTGCGTCTCGGTGTTTTGTTTCCGAATATAAGCCCTTCTAGATTTCTGATCGGATTCAAAACCAGAGGGAAGATTTTCAGATTGCGTACATATTAAGTCCACGTGTGGTTCGCAAATGTATTCTGAAGCCCGGTTCATTAGAGCACTCTGTCTAATTGGGTCGCGAATGCTCAGGCCGCCCAACCTGGCTGGTAACTGCGCAAGTTCGAGCGACGTGGGATCCAGTTTGCAACCAAATATGGTTTCGAGCAAGTTGTTGATAGAGCTTGAGAGGTTATGCCATGCTTCCGCGGGAGTTTCCATGATGCGCTGAAGGTACGACCATTTGCTTTGCAGGCTGAAAACAAGGCCAGCGTATGCGGCTTGTGGTTCTTGCTCTGCTATTTCAGTCAGCTTTTCCACCATGCTTGTGAACTTCTCTGTTTTTTGCAAGATGAAGTCAGAGCAGAAAGCTGTTGAGCCGATAACACCACCTAAGTACTTCTTTCCCGAAGTGCGAATAATCAACCCGTCACTTTTGAACAGTGCTTCTGCTTCATCGAGGTGTTGTGGTTTGACAACGAGTACTGTTTTGGAGGGCTCCGGGAAGTAACCGTAATTCGGGCCTCGAACTTTCATGAGTTCCCACCATTCTTTGACACGGATAAGTTTCCCTGCACCAGCTCCGTCATCGGCGTAAAAGTTTTTGTGAATGTCGGTGACGGTTTTATCATAGACAAGGGGGATCATGCTGATGGCGCACATGATCATTGCTGCCACGTCTCCTTGAGTGGTGCCTTCGGATGACAGGATGGACTTCCCTCCTACGAACAAGATAGCTGGCTGTTTGTAGAAATTATTGAGGAAGGGGTGGAGCTGGGGGCATAGAATTTCAATGTTATTGAGAGCCGTACCGCGGTTCAGTCTATTGAACGCGTTTTCTGCGTCAATGAACAGGGCTGCTTGGCACTCGTCGGCGTTGAAGGTCTTCTGCATGGATCGGAAAGCAGATTCAATCCCGGCGCTAATACCAGCGCAGGTTTGGAGGGGGCCAACAATCTCCCTAACTTCGTCTTGAAAGCACTGGATAAGGGCGGACGTGATTATTCTTCTAAAAATTTCTCCGATTCCAATAGGGCGGACGCCAGGTGATTTGTCCAGGCCAACCATGCGGCAGTTTGCTATGGGCTGCATCACTGAAGCGGGTAGTTGCTCTGTGGCAAGAATTCTGGTAAGATCAGCGAGAGCGTGGCAGACGTCGTCGGTTAATTTACCAAAACTATCGGAGCAAAGAATACGTTTGGCGCCTGTTGAACTTAGGCCGCTTGGTCCCGCGCCTCCAGTGCTGTTGAGTGCGCATTTGCGGATAAGCGCGCCTGTAATGTTGTATTATATCGATGCAGGAGTAGGTTTAACGGGTCCCTTGAGCAAGGCGTCAGCATGCGAAGGCTCGGCGACCGGGTGTTTTCTCTCCAGTTGAGCGATGAGGTCATCGTCTACAGGCAAAGGTCCTCCAGACTCTTCGCCTTCGAGGAGTTGGGTGGCTTGGGTGAGTTTACCCCGCATGATAAGTTCACTGTACGTTTTCGACAGGTTGACGACTCCCTTTCGGCGCTTGCTTGTAGACTTATCCTGGATTAGCAAGCATTCAGAGACAATTTCGTCTAGATTGCCGTTCGACCAGTGCTCTAAACGGGCTTTAGTACAGATTTTTGTGCTCTTTCACTTTGCTGCGAGCAGATGGTTTCTGTAGCATAAGCGCGGGGAACAAGTGAAAAGCTAAGGAGGCGGAGTGAGCGTTCTTTGGGTCTGAAGTCAAATTTTTCAGAATGCGGATGAACTCCTCCAGGAACTGACTCCATACTTTTCCCTGTGGAAGGGTGAACAGGTTAGGTACCCAGGTGACAATCCTCAAATAGGCTTGATGGAGTGAGGTATAACTGATTGTCCCATGCAGCACCTTAAGACCCTCGTGAGTAGTTTCCACCGGATCCAACCGGAGATCACTTAGTAGTTGAGATAACCCAGTTGATCCGTTCACCGAGGGGGTGACACAGTAGGGACAGTAAAATAGAGAGTTTCTGGGCATTGCTGCAAGTGCTTTCTTTGTAGTTTTGGCACAGCTCATGTGGAACCAGTTGTTACACTGGTCGCATTGGACGCCACTCGAGCTCACGATACCGCTGTGCGGGTAATCCGCATTACCGCATGGTGCTGTGTCTTCTGATTTCTGGGTGAGCAGTCCTGCGTGTGGATCTCGCGTCGCTTCGCTGCTGCTGGCAGACCGAAGTTTTCTCGCCATCTTGCTGGGACGTCAATCACTAGAAACTTGGTCAGGCCAAAGTCTTTTGTCCTTCAATATCGACAAATGTGTTCACAAAAACTGTCGATAGAAAACATGAGAGTAACAAGACGTCTTAACGTGGTAAAGAGACACGATACGACTCTTCACTGGCAAGAAGAGTCACTCAACACGCAATTTTGGGAGGAAATTTAATTTTTCAAAATTTCGAATTGAGCCTGTCATGCTCAACTTTCTCGCGACAACTATTTAATAAGTTTATCACTCTAGTTTTATTGTGACGTCACAATCACTCTAGTTTTATTGTGACGGAAATTGCGAATGGCAATTTCCTACTGCTTTATCTGGCAACTTTCCCGCGATTGTTACTCGATCATTCTGATTTCTCTTTTTCGATTTTCAGTTATCGCGAGAAAATCGTGCATGACAGGCTCCATTCGAGCTTTTGAAAAATCAAATTTCACTCCAAAATTAAGCGTTCTTGTTTTTCTCAAGGTCAAACTTCCAAATATGACCGACTGGCACAAGCTGAAGTTGATATTGAGCCTTTAATTTAAAAATCAGTGTGTGGAAATTTTCCCTGCATACGAGACTATTCCCATGCTTTAGTAGAGAAAATTTTGTGAATTTACGAAAAGCCAACTTTTTCGATTTTGATCGTTTTCTGGAATCTTTTTCAATTTTTTTTTACGAAAACTACTCAGCCAAATCTGAGATAAAGAATTCAGTTGAAAGATCGATTGATATAATTTTTCTTTAAATATGCAGCTAATACACCACTTAAATATTCTGTGGCAATTATTCTGTGATTGTATCACGTGCAGAAACAAGTGGACATTGTTTTAGAGAAGACGCCGGGACCAAGAATCCCAACAGCAGTGCTGTGAATCCCCAACAACAACAAAAACAACAAAATAGAAAAATCACAAGAGTTTTGCGTCAAGTCCATTTTTGAATCTTTCAAATTTACTCATTTCCGTATCAGTGTAAAATATGATCATAATATTAAAACATGTGAATCTAGGATAAGCTGGGCAACTGGTTTTTCGTTCAAGCGTCCGTGGCGCGATTGCGAGGAAAAGCAAATCCTAATCAACCGGTAGGAGTTCCAAATCCGGAACATTGAAATAGTTTCAGTTTTTTAGGTCGAATTTTTCTTGCATCGCATTGGCAATTTGATAGAAACTGCAGCTGCTTTATTGATGGCTACTGTTAGTAAAATTACAAGCGGTCATGAAGCAGATGTGAGAACTTGTTACTCCCAAGCCGTGTAAAAAAGTTTCTTACGGTGTCTTTTTAATCTTTCCTTATTTCACTTTGTTTTGCCTGTTTGTAACATTCGCCCAAATATCACACAGCGACGGAGCGTAGAAAAAGTACCTATTGACGACTGGCAGGCGTCAGTTACCTTAATTCTACTCGTTTTTCACCGTCTCGACCTTGCCAGTTGATTTTCTGGTCTGTCTAGGGCAAAGTAAAAAGTTACCATTTTTAGGCCATCAGTCAAACGACTTTTGATCAGCTTTCGTTTGCATGCGAACACAACCACATAGCTGAGTCTCGGATCCTCAGACTACGTGATTGTCATTAAAAACACGGCTCGAACAACCTATTTTATTATGTTTTTGTGTGACAGTTTTATATTAAATCCATTGGAGATGGATTGACCCTTTCCTTTTTCTATCTACTCATGCTCTGAAATATTAAATAATAACGGTGTTAATTAAGATCTAGGACATTACAGCAGCTGTTATGGTCAGTTTTCACAGTCCCTTCACATATAACAGTCTCTGGGGAACCAAGCCTCCGCTCCCGTGATTTTCTTGAGATAACACTCTTATCTCCTATATTTCGTGTCCCGGGAGGGTTCCGTGGTATTTCTCTTCCCCCCACTGAAGCCTCCGTCTCCACAAATATCTGTCGCTAAGGTCCTTATCGTGTGTTCTTTCCACGATAAGAGGCTCCGTGTTTTTCTGTCTCTGATACAACTGTTCTTCACAAAATATGGCGTCGTTCTGATTTTCGTCTTTTTCTATTCAAAATGGCCGTCTTTTTTCTATTTCTCAGAAATGTTCTTCTTCCAATCGAAATTTTAAAAATAAAAATTCTAGAACATTCTGACCCTCCGTCGCAACACTTTTTTGTTCATAAGGCCTTTAGTCACTTTTTTTTCTGTCGCGGGAAGGTTATGCTGTGTCATCTGGCAGAATGGCACATACTCCCCGGACAAGTCTCCATCAATGTCCCTATTGATCGCATAACACCGGGTTATCGTCAAGTAGTTATCCAATTTTCAGTAACCAATCTTACAAATTGCATAAGAAATTGAAATTTATCTACTCCAACTCAACTCACTACGTGTTCACAAATGGCATCGTACTACATCTCACTGCCTTTCAACATTTTCACAAAATTCGCACCATGAGGAGGGTCCTAGATAAAATTTCTTTTCTGACTACTTACGTCATCTCGCCATAAAACTTCTTTTCGCCTCTGATTAAAAAGTGGGACGTGGCACGGCCACGCACCCGTTAAAATTAACTTAACTTCACTCACCAAGTATAATTAGTCATTTATGCGGTCCTTTCAATATTAAAACTAAGAAACTCTGTGGCTAGGAAAGTTATTGAGTTACCCACCCTTCTCGAGCGAATTTACTCAAACTTACCATGTCGCCACACAGTGAATTTGTGTCTTACACAGGTTAAAAACTTCAGTCGGGAATAAATAGGTAAATATACTCACCTATGCTCCTTATATACATACATAGATAGTAGTAACTAAAATCAACAAAATCAACAATTTTAACAATTGCAACATTTTCAAAGTTTGGTCTGACCAAACTAAATCAAAACAAAAAGTTTCACAAGTTCAATAATCAAAACTTGGTTGATTTGTTCAAGTTTTTACACACAAAGACAATCAAGTTTTTTTCTCCTTCTCTTCCCTTCTTCGGTCATCTTCATTCCATCATTTCTCCATCCTGATGTTCAGCGTCACTGTCTTCCAGAACTTTCTCTAACATGTCCAGAGAGTTGCGGGCCGTGCCCCAACCCTCCTGTTCCAACAGCCTCGGTTTGCAACAAGGTAGCAAGTCCACATTCACCTTCTGCTCCCGGTTCCTGCAAAAGCTGTTGTGAAGACATAGGCTCACGTTTCGTTCTAGGTCAGCTCTTAAGACCTCTTTCTTCTCATCTTCAGTAACACAAGGCGTTCCAGCTACCCGCTTCACCGCTGTGGTGACCGCGTTTCTGTGCGTCAAGAATGCTCGTTTATAGGCTCCTGGTCCAAATCTAGCTGGAAAGATTGATAGGCTTCCGTGTTCCTTGACATGTGACGCTTCGCGCGTTCATACATCCAAGATGTCATCACTGCACGGAACCAAGGCATCAATCTTTGCCTTGACCATATTCTTTCAATGGCTTTAGGTATTCTCAGAACCTTGCAGGTGGTTCTGAAAAGATCCAATTCACTACTCATTTTCACGTTGCTCAGCTGTTCAGGAGTCGGCACGGCCGTCTCCTGCTCACTTGTGTCTGCATTAGCCTCCAACCATCTCACTGCTAGCATGGCGCTAACCACCACGATTGACACTTGTTGATTCTGATCGGGCAACCCCGTGGAGTACAACTCCTCCACGTCCCAGACTAGGATCAGATTCCCGCGTTTAGGGTACCACAACGTCTGCGCCAAGCAGTGGCAAGGATACTCCCCATGGGTTCTCACTATGTTCCTTCGGGTCCGATACCCTGAGGCTCCCAATAACGGTTCCACTTCCATCAGGATTCTATGTAAATCGTCTTTCTCTTCTATGGTGGGGAATTCAGTGGGTAACGCTCCACTCGCTTTCTGTTTCTGGAACTCACTCACGTTGCCTTCGTTCAGTCTCATGAACTCTTCACCCACAACGTCTTGCAACTCGCCTTCGGATCTCTTCGGGACTGCCCGAAAGATCTTTGCCAACAAGTCATATGACCTCTCTGACATTCTGGCCAACCTCACGCACTTTGGCACCGAGAAAAGTTGATCAACCAACACTTGTTGCGTCCTCGCATCCATCACTACCATGTGCGTAGGATACTTGCTATTACAATATGGCGCGGAGCTTGAACCCACCATATATTTTGAACCAGTAGGTCTGTGATAGGCTTCACTATCCTTCAGATTCATTTCATTCTCTAGGGCTTCTCGCCAGCCTCCAATCTTTTGCTCCGTCTGTAATGCTCCAGGGAATATTTCCACGCTGAGGGACGTCACTAGCTCATGGGCACGCTCCAAGCGCTCGAGCGATTCTATCGAACTCGTCATGCTGCAAAATCCCAAGGCTGTGATCAGGTTTACGTCCGTCACCCCATGGCAGTCTGCGACCAACTCCATGGCACTCTTATCTGACATGCTCAATCTTCCGTACAATCGTGCCAATTGTCGATGCTGCTCGCTTAGCGTAATCAGGCAGTGTCCTAGGTTACAAACATGTCCTTCCATCCCACTGTGTTGAGCCAAGCATGTGCCTTGCTTCAACCAATTACTCGATGTACCTTCCTCGGACAGCTCCGTGGCCGGGTTGCTCTTCTTCTTCGTCAATCTCATGGCCAGCAGGTGTTGTATCATGGCCAGATCATGTAGACTCGCATCATCATCCCGGTCTAACATGATATCCGCGGTCATGTCCCAGATTAAGCCTGCGTTAGGATGGGGACACCAAGAAGGTTTCATGAGTTCCCACATCACTACTAGACTGGTTTTCAAGGGACCGTCCCAAGAACCACAATCAAAACTCACTTGCCCTTTTAGCTCGGGAATCGAGGGCTCGACTACTCGTTCTTCCAAAATAATTCCAAGCTTGGGTTGTTCCACCATCAACATTCCAATTTCCTTAATCCGTTCAACCCAGAAGTTGAGCACTGTGACTTGCTCGTATTCGAAGTATGCTTCCCTGGCTTCTTCGTTCACGAAGGGATTATACGCCATCCCCGGTATGCCAGACACGTATTGGAACGACTTCAGTTTCCCTAGCGTTGCAAACTCCTTTTGTCCTCTGGCCGCTTCAATCAAGTCTCTGCTCACTCTCAATTCTTTGTTGGAGTATCTTCTCACCTCTTCCAACTTGCGATAGCTTTCCATATCATTCGACTCCTTGCTTGGCACGGTCAATGGCATGTCCTGATATAGCTCTAGGAGTGCCCTAAGGAAGTTCCTTTCGCAATCAACTCCCTTTTGCCGAATGATCTTTATACATTCTACCAACACAGGAGTGGG